ATCCCAGGCCGGGCCCACCTTGACCCACACCATTGGAATCCCAGGCCAGGCCCGCCTTGACCCACACTATTGGAATCCCAGGCCGGGCCCATCTTGACCTACACCATTGGAATCCCAGGCTGGGTCCGCCTTGACCCAAACCATTGGAATCCCAGGCCAGGCCCACCTTGACCCACACCATTGGAATCCCAGGCTGGGTCCACCACACCACTGAAGCTGTCGTAGCAGACCAGCACACCACAGGAAACACCAAGGGGAGGCCGCAATGGCCACGAGGATCTGACCACAGCACCTTTGCTGCTGCAGCATCTCCTGAAGTATTCTTCCAGTATTCCTGCAAAAAATATACTTTGCGAAATTTTTCATTTTGAACTCATCAGGTCAGTTAATAAGAAACACCAATGAAAAGTGAAACAATGCTTTATGCTGCATGAAAAGAGAGTGCTGATGGTTGGAATCCAATTGATTGAGTAGTTGCCACAGAGAATGCACCAAATAGATGATGATTGACAGTTAACTGTTGGCTATATTTAAAGTTAGGTAGGTTGACTCTGATTGGTCAGATCTTTGCCCTGAGGAATGAAGCAGAGAATGGCTGTCACCTGTCTTTTTCATTTAAAGCAGGCACAGTGTGTGCACATATTCCTTCTATCTGTCAGTACCAACACGAGTTCTGTTTGTCCCTACCAGAATCAAGCCAAAAAATTTTCTGGTTATCACACAAATTTGTAACATGGTATTTAAATTTCAGTGCCAGCGTACAGGTTGATATACAGACTATATGTCCCAAGGCCTGGTAGTTCATATCAAACAGCATGTCCCTTTGAATTTTAGTATAGAAAAGGTACTGGCCGGATCTGACCAGTCCATCCTCATAAAATGTACAAATTGACGTAAGTTCAGGATTGGACAACATTTGCTACATAATCCTGACTGTGAGAAGAATTACACTTACAACCAATTTTTTTTAAAATATTCATTCACTGGATGAAGGCATCACTGGCCAGGCCAGCATTTATTGCCCATCCCTAATTGCCCAGAGGGCAGTTATGAGTCCACTACATTGCTGTGGGTCTGGAGTCACATGTAGGCCAGATCAGGTAAGGATGGCAAGTTTCCTTCCCTAAAGGACATTAGTGAACCGGATGTTTCTTTTTCCCCCCCAAACAATTACAATGGATCATGGTCATCATTAGATTCTTAATTCCAGATTTTTATTGAATTCCAATTCTACCCTCTGCCATGGTGGGATTCAAACTCAGGTCCCCAGAACATCAACTGGGTTCTCTGGATTAACAGTGCACCAATAATACTACTAGGCCATTGCCTCCCTGCCTGTTAGGAAAGGGAATCATAGGTTATCAGGGGGTAGGTGGGAATGTGGAATTCGAAACACAATGCCGAACTTCTACCTTTATTTCTTTATTTTTCTAATTTATACCTAAGAGTTTGTACCTCAGTGTCTTTGTACCTAAACTGGTGCCAGAAATGGCAACTTTGTACACTTTTCACTGTATTCATATATCCCTGTGCTTGGGTACGTGTGACAATAAACTTAATTCTAATTCTAAAAACACAGGTCAGCAACAATCTTATTGAATAGTGATAGTAGGAACTGCAGATGCTGGAAAATCCGAGACAACAAGATGCAGAGCTGGATGAACACAGCAGGCCAAGCAGCATC